TCTGATTTTTGTAACTTTATATGCCATTATTACAAGATAAATAGTGTTTATCTTATTAAACAGGGGGGTTATAAACCGTGAAATTATCTGATTTTTTGTAACTTTATATACCATTATTACAAGATAAATAGTGTGTTTTTTATATCAAGTTATGAGAGAAAAAGTTTCACAACCGTGTTTAAAACGATAGCGCATTTGCAGATACCTGAATACAAATATTTGAGTAGTATATTAAATCTTCAAATCTTCAAATCTAAGAAAGTTTATGAGTGGTATATTATATCTTCAAATCTGAAGACTTAAGGCAATTTTGAGTAGTATATTAAATATTCCAATCTGAAGACTTAAGGCAATTTTTGAGTAGTATATTAAACCTTCAAATCTGAAGACTTAAAGCAGTTTTTGAGTGTTATATTAAATCTTCAGATCTGAAAACTTGAGACGGTTTTTGAATAATATATTATATCTTCAAATCTGAAGAATTAAGGCAATTTTTGAGTAGTATATTAAACCTTCAAATCTGAAAACCTAAGAAAGTTTTTGAGTAGTATATTATATCTTCAAATCGGAAGACTTAAGGCAGTTTTTGAGTAGTATATTATATCTTCAAATCGGAAGACTTAAGGCAGTTTTTGAGTAGCATATTAAACCTTCAACTCTGAAAACCTAAGAAAGTTTTTGAGTAGTATATTATATCTTCAAATCTGAAGACTTAAGGCAGTTTTTGAGTAGCATATTAAACCTTCAACTCTGAAAACCTAAGAAAGCTTTTGAGTAGTAAAGCAAATATTCGAATCTGAAAACTTAAGTTAGTTTTTGAGTAGTATATTAAATATTCGAATCTGAAGACTTAAGACAGCTTTTAAGTGGTATGTTAAATCGTCAAAACTGAAAACTTAAGGCTTATGAATTTTAGTGTTGACTGGTTTTGTTACTTCAAATAAATAACAGTTCAATGGGAAGTAATTATTTAGACGACAGAAACTGTAGTAATCTTTACTCGGCTTGATAGTTTTAACTTGTCAGGAATCATAGTATTTCAATTATAATTTTGTTTTTAGTCCACCTTAAATATATCGTTAGACACGATAGCAGTAAATAATAGGGGAATTTAACGATCTTAAACAAGAAGTGATGGAACTCGAATT